TACAAGGCAGGAGGTTTGGGGGAGACCTGGCACCATGGGAGGACTGGATCCTGGGCAGGATCAGGCCTTCGTGGGATGTCCCTTCCCTGCGTGGCCAGGCTGAGGGGAGCAGCCTGTTCCCTTCCCTTGGGCAGGCACAGGGGAGAGCCGTGCAGTGAGGGCGGGGAGGGGCCGGGTACTCCATTTTGGGATGACAAACACTGGAAAATTTCCTGCGGTTGGAGCTGTGTGGTGTGGTGGGGGAACTGGGGGGGAGAGGGCTGAGCATGCCCCAGGTCCCTGCACTGTACATGTGCATGCGTACACATGCAGACACATGCACATGTATGCACATGCACATACATGCATGCACCCAGGCCGGCTTGTCCCCAAGCTGTCCTGCCCCTGGCAGGCTCCTCCTGTGTCCCTCACTCAGCTGCCCCATCCCTGTTACCCCGTTACAGCCCAAGGGGGGCCTGTGCCAGGCTTCAGGGGGACTCTGCCCTGCCAGCTGCGAACCCTAGTGGTGTCCACCCCTGTCCAGTCCTATGAGGCCAGAGCTGGGGTACATGAGGGGCAGCCAAAGCCAAGGTCCCCATGCAGCCCATGGGGAAAGGGGGTGCTGGGCAGGACTATGGGGGTGTCTTGCATTTGCTGCGAGTGTGGTGAGGCGCAAGGGGGCCAGAGGCTACATGTCTGTTAGTCTTGGCAGCTGCCCCGCTCCTTCCCGGCTCAGACCAGAGTTTCCTGGATCACTTCCACCGGGGCTGGAGCTGGGATCCGCCCGAGGGGAGCTGAGCCGAGCTGCACAGACGGCCCTTTGAGCCCTGGTGCCCGCCGTGGCGGTGCCAAACCTGGCAGCCGTGCATCGAGCTGGGGAGGTGGCTGGTGAGGGGGGGTGAAGGGGTAGGCGGTGTCAGGGAAACCCTACACCGCTGCGGTGGGGAGAGCTCTGCCCCTCCCGGGCTGGGGTATAAAGCCCTTGTGGGGGCACACGGCCGCCCTGTCCTCCGCCTCCTGCCCCGCAGCACAGCAGGGTAAGTGCTGGCCTGGCCCCTCGCCCCGGGGCCAGGCTTTCTGCTTGCAGCCACAGCACCGGGGCCTGCAGCCATGCAATGGTGCAGAGGGAAGGGCAGGGCTGGGGATCAGGACCTCACCCCAACCCCACCCTGCACCCGCCCAGCTCTGGGTGCCAGCGGCCTCTCCTGCACCTGCCTGCATGCCCAGGCCATGCCAGGAGAGGGGTGGGCTGCAGGGTGAGGGTGCTTTCTAGGCTGGTCCTGTCCCTTGCCATCACCTGCCTCCATCTCAGCACTCAGCTGGCCTGGGGGAGCGTGTTTGCAAGGCGGGGTGACTCCACACTGTCCAGCTGTGAGCGTCAGGGTGGATCCAACTGAAACCTGCCAAACTCGCTGCATGGAGAATGGGGGGGTGGGGCACCCAGGACCCCGGTGACAGGAGGGAAGAGCTGTTTGTCCCACTTTTTGTCTCTCCAGCCCTCTGTCCATTGATTTCTCCACCCCTCCGTCCATCTGTCCGTCAATCTGAGCCTTGCACTCCTCTCTCTTTGCAGCCTCCGGTGTTCCCTCCAGCTCGGCTCTTGTGTCACCAGCCCTCAGCTCCCCGCCCCGGCACCATGGCCACGGGGGAGCTGACGGAGCTGGAGACGGCCATCGAGAAAATCGTCTCTATCTTCTTCACCTACGCGGCTCGGGAGGGCCGGACAGGCACGCTGACCGCCGGCGAGTTCAAGGAGTTGGTGCGGCTCCAGCTGCCCAACTTCATGAAGGTGCAGGGGGTGCAATGGGGCACGGGGCATGGGTGCTGGGGAGCTGGCCGGGGGCTGCTGGCCTGAGCTGTGTGTCCCTGGGCCAGGGGGAAGGTGGCTGGGGCAGGGGGTTGGTTGGATCCATCCCTCTCCAGCTTTGGTGCAGGGAACTGCTTTAGAGAAACAACAACAACAACAACAATAATAATAATAATAATAATAATAATACTAATAATAGTAAAAGCATGGGGAGATCTTATACCATGGCAGAGTGTCCCCTGCCCAGCTGCTCCAGCTATGAGGCATGCTGCCTTCTCAGGAGCAGGGCACAGGGAGGGGCTGTGCCTTGGTTGTGGCTGCTGGAGGACAGGGAGCCGTGTCCAGATGTGGAGACGGAGCATGCTGCTCCTAGATGTGCCCGGTGGTGGGTAGCACCGTGCTGACCCCCTGCCCCCGTTTCCCCCAGGACGTTGGATCCCTGGATGAGAAGATGAGCAGCCTGGATGTGAACCGTGATGAGGAGCTCAAGTTCAGCGAGTACTGGCGACTCATTGGGGAGCTGGCCCGGGACATCAAGAGGGAGAAAACGAGCAAGAAGAAGTGATGGGGCAGGCCTGGGGTACTCGCTCTGGTCTGTCCAGCGTTGGGGGCACGAATAAAGGTTCCCCTCTGAGTCTGGCGTTGCCTCAGTGCTTGGGGGATGGCAAAGAGGGCACTTGGCTCATGCACAACCCCCTGCACACGCTGTCTCCAGCCCCCCAGCCGGGTCCACACCCAGCAGGATGAAACCAACACCCAGAGGCCTCCAGCTGGAAGGGTGGGGGCAGGGGAGGGGTGCAGGTAGCTGGGAGGGTGGAAGCAGGGGAGAGGGGCAGGCATCTGCCCCATGCCCCACGTCACCCCCAGGACACCAAGGAACAGGGCAGAAATACCTTGCCCAAGCTGGGAATAGGACTTTTTTTTTTTTAAAGAAATTTTTCATCTTCCAAGCCAAATCAAGTCCAAACCCATGAGTCAGTCCAGACCCATAAGTGGCTGTACAACTGGTAAACATCCTCCACCCTCACCAGGGGCTTCAGATATTTCCAAAGTCTTTTGGCAGGCATCCCATGTGCAGGCCCAAGCCCAGAGGCTTGGGGTTCAGATTCCCCCAAGTTTCACCTGCCCTCAGCCATATGGCTGCAGGAGCGATCTAGGGAGGAGCCTCCCATTCCCCTAAATTGGGCTTTAAGCCCCAACACCTCGGCGGGTACTAAACCTCACCAGAAAAACAGTTATCCCCAGGAGGCTTAAGGAAAACTGCCTTCTTGGACCCAGATACATGGTGTTTCCCCTGCCAGGACTTTTTTTTTTTATTTGTATCTGAGGCCAAATTAGCCAAAACTAATTCCAAATCCAAGAGTCCAGAACCATAAGTGGCCGTACTACTGGCAAACATCCTCCACCCTCACCAGGGGCTTCAGATATTTCCAAAGTCTTTTGGCAGGCATCCTACATGCAGGCTCAAGCCCAGAGACGTGGGGTTTGGATGCCCCCAAGTTTCACCTGCCCTCAGCCATATGGCTGCAGGAGCGATCTAGGGAGGAGCCTCCCATACCCCTAAATTGGGCTTTAAGCCCCAACACCTCGGCGGGTACTAAACCTCACCAGAAAAACAGTTATCCCCAGGAGGCTTAAGGAAAACTGCCTTCTTGGACCCAGATACATGGTGTTTCCCCTGCCAGGACTTTTAAAAAAAAATTTGTATCTGAGGCCAAATTAGCCAAAACTAATTCCAAATCCAAGAGTCCAGAACCATAAGTGGCTCTACTACCGGCAAACATCTTCCACCCACACCTGGGGCTTCAGATGTTTCCAAAACCTTTGGTGGGCATCCTACTTGCAGGCCCCAGCCCGGAGGCTTGGGGTTCAGATGCCCCCGAGTTTTGCTTGCCCTCAGCCATAAGGCCCTCAGAGCAAGCTAGGGAAGAGACTCCCATTTCCACAAACTGGGCTTAAAGCCGTGGCACCTCGGTGGGTACCGAACCACGCCAGAAGAGCAGTTCTCTTGCAAGCCGGTTCAGGAAAACTGCCTTCTTGGACACAGATACATGGTATTTCCTCTGCCAGGTTAAGAAGCCACTATGCCTAATCTTAGCCTTTGTGGTGAGTGCTGGAGCTCATGCTCCAACCAGAGGCAGGGCACAACCCAGGTGTCAGGCGCTCCAGGACCTTCCCTGTGCTGCTCAGTGCTGCGGGGGGAATGGCTGGACAGCAGCCCCCTGCTCAGCCTTGTTGGCCTGCGGTCTCCACCCAGCCACTCCAGGCCTGGGGCCAGCCAGGATGCAGGGCAGGCAGGAGGGAGAGGCTGGGGAGAAAAGCCCGATATCGGAAGCCACGATCCAGCTCCCGCCCTGCTCCTCTACTCGCTCGACAACCCGCCCACTCCTGCTGGGATGTGGCGGTGGGGGGGTCATGACAGCAGCTCGAGTGTAACACACCCTCTTAAGGCTGGAAATGAAGGCACTTTCTCCCACGAAGGCCCAGTGAGGGTCCCCACGCAGGGTTTGGCCCTGGGGAGGGTGCTAGGGGAGGATTAATGCACAAGGGAGGCCAAGGCCACTGTTTTACACTTCTCATAAAAGCACCAGCAGCATTGCCCAGGGAAGCACTGCTGCCAGGCTGGGCTAGGGGGTCAGCACTGTCCTTCATCACTGTGCGGGGGCAGCTGGGGGTCGGGGGGGCACCACCAAGCCCTGAACTGGGTCTTACATGTGTCTCCCCTCCTGGAGCTGACCCAGCTTAACCAGTGGGAGCTGGTGCTCATTCAGCCCCTGCTGCTACAGGGGCAAGGCAGGGATGCTCAGCTTTTGTGGCATGGATGCAGGTGCAGGCCGGTGTAGACTGTCTCGTGTGTGTGCGGGCGTCTGCAAGGCCTGGGAACGGCCAACCCGCCTGGAAGTGGGTGGCGCCCAGCCCCACGCTGGACCCGTGCCAGGCAATGAAATGAGACACCTTGCACCATATCTGCGTGAGGTGTCTCCCACTCACCCCTCCCTGTGGTATAAAATCCCAGCAGGGGACACGGCCCTCCCCAGCCCAAAAGAGCCTTGGGAGCAGGTAAGTGGCTTGGGCTTTTCTTGGACTTCCCCGACCCTCGCTGGGGGGATCTGACCTGCCCTCCGGCCCCCCCAGCCTGGCCCAGCCCAGCCCCTTCGGCTTTGCCCTGACACGTTGCGAGGGAGGGGTGCTGCGCCAAGCGGGACATGCCTCGGCAGCTCCCGGCCTCCCTCGTGGAGCATCAGGGCTGGCTGGGGGGAGCCGGGAATGCATTGGGGGAGCCGCGTCCTCACCCAGGCCCTGTCTCTCCTGCCCTAGGAACTCCCTGTGGGGGATACACAATCAGCTGCCAGCAGTGCCCCTGACGTCGCAACCCAGCACCCAGCACCCACCACTGGACAGCTCTGCCTGACGCCCACCACTCCCTGCAGCCCCGCGAAAGCACAGCCACAGCAGGAGCCAGACCCCGGAGCCGGAGGCAGCCAGCATGGGCCAGTGCTGCTGCAAGAAGCGCAAGGTCAATGGATGCCAGATTTGCTTCTGTTCTGTCCCATTGTGGATGCCCACTGTGCTTGGGCTGGCGGCCATGGAGAAGGGTGATCCTGCCTGGGCCTGGGAACAGGGGCTGGCGGATCGGCCGGAGTCCTTCCGTGGGACGCCAGGATAGACCTGAATGTGGTGCCTGCTTGCAAATGGGCTGCCTCATCCAAAGCCCAATGAAACCAGCCCTGGGCTTCCCTGGGCTCTGGATCCAGCCCTCCCTCCAAGCCTGTGCACTCTCGAGGGCCCCTTAAGTAAGCCAGGTGCAGGAGAGAGCAGTGAGGCTGGCACAGACAGGACTCAGGAGCCACTTGGGAGCCCAGGGAGGCTTTGCCAGCTCTGCCTGGGCTTGTGTTTGCTGCCCAGGGCTCTCCTGAAAGGTCTCGTGGTGACGAGTGACTTCACCAAGGGAATAGGAGACGGAGCTGGGAGCCTACTGCTTTCCATTCCTAAAGGAGAGATCCTTTCCTGGGGTCTGGCTGGAAGCAGCATTTCCCGGAGAGGCTGGTGGTGCTGATTTTTTGGGGGCTGCTCCTAATGCGGAGGACCCAGGTGCAGGGAGCCAGCCCAGGCCAACAGCTTTCCCCTTCAGCTGGGGGCTCTGCAGACATGCCGTGGGATGCTGGAGGTCCCTCAGCCTCCAAAAAGGGGCTCATGCCAGTGGAGAAGCTGAGCACCGTATTCCTTGTGGGACCTGAAGCAGATTAGGAGGCTCAGGGCCATTCATAACCATGCTTCAGGGCCTGAGCCAGTCAGCTCCAGGGGTCAGGAAGGAACGTGAACTCAGCGGGGTGCCCCAGTCCTCATGGACCATGGCAAGGCCCATTGTGCCGCTCCCTGGAAGATGAGACCCTGGTGCCAGCCCGCACAGGAGCAGGGAGGGGGGTTGATCCTACCCAGTTTCAGCGTGCGTGGGACGGGGCTGGCAGGTTCCCCTCCCAGGCTGGGAACCGGCTCTCGGCATCCAGCCCTGCCAGGTCCCCTCCCTACGCCCCCGGTAACCATCTCCCGCTTCTGCCTGTGGCTCTAGGACTCCCAGGAGCTGACGAATGTGGAGCAGGCCATCGAGACTGTGATCAACCAGTTCCACTGCTACGCAGTGCAGGGGCGCAAGGAGTACCTCACCCCCAATGAGCTCAAGGAGCTGGTGGGGCAGAAGCTGCCACATCTTGGGAATGTAAGGGCAGCGCGTGGCACCGCTCTGGGGGAGGGGGCAGCTCCTCGCCCTGAGATCCGGGGCAGGACCCTGGATTGGGGCTGGGGGTGGAGGGACAGGACTTGGGTGCAGGGCCCTGGGTCAGGGCTGGGGGGTGGAGTCCAGGGTGAGGGGACAGGGCCCAGGTGCAGGGCCCTGGATCATGGCCAGGGGGTGGAGTCTAGGGGTCAGGGGACATGACCCCAGTGCATGGCCCTGGATTGGGGCCGGGACCTCTGTGGAGGCTATGCCAGAGCCGCCTGACCGCCCCGTGTCCTCAATAGTGTGTCGGCCCCTTGGAAGAGAAGATCGAGTGCCTGGGCGACCCCAATGAGGCCCGAGTTGAATTCGGCGAGTACTGGGACATCATGGGCGATGCCGCCAAGTGCTGCCAGAAGTGAGGCGCCGGCGAGCCTAGATCCGTGCTGCGGGGCCCCCCCGTCCCGGCGCGCCAGAGACTGACCATCACTGGGGGCTGCAGCATGGAGGAGGACGCAGTGTTACATCTCCCTGGGGCTCCCCTCCTCCCCCCAGCTCTGGAACCCATTCTCCTCCCCCCGTCAGCCTAGAACCCGCTCCGTCCAGGGCCGCTCGAGAACCTGCCTCCCCTTGCTCACTCTTGACCCCTTCCCGCTTTTGGAAGGGAGGGAGGTGGGGGGTTCCCTCCACTCCAGGACCCCTCCAGCGCCCTCCCCCAGCCATTTCCTTGATGGGGGGTCTCACCTGCTGTGCTCCCCGGCTCCTTGGCTTGAGGGCCTTGGCAGCTCTGGGTTTCCACCCTTGAACCTGCCATGGTTTGGCTCTTTTCCTCTGGCACCTGTGGGTCGAGGGGCTCTGGGATGGGTCAGTGACCCCTTCCTCCTGGGCACTACGGGGTTGTGCTCAGGGCTGGGTAGCGG